TGTGTGTGTGTCCCGCCCCCCTTGTCCATGTTCCCTGTCTCTGTGTAGTGCGTGTCTTGCCAGTAGCAGCAGCAGTGTGTGCAGCACGGCAGTGCGTCGTGGTTTCTTGCGTGCGTGTAGTTTGTTGCCCAAAGAAAAACAAAAATGACGACGCCTCCCGGGGATGCGTCCATGTGACGTATATATTTGCACAAACGCTGTACTATCTCGAGACACCGACCACGGATTGCAAAGGTAGCAGTTGGCACAGCTCGGGCAAAATATTACTTGTTGTGCGCAAGTTTTAGTTTTCAATTTATGTGGTGCCGAGATGGTGAAATGGGCTCGAGTCTGCTGGGTATTTAGGGCGCGCAGACACCAGACAGACACCCAGACAGACAGACAGCCATGGCTAAATTTTCACGCCCGTGTGCATGAAAATTATTCTTTTTCTCGTGCGCACATACTCCACACACGATTCCTCTAAGCAGCTTTTTTTTTGCAAAAGAAAACAAAAAGCATACTCCTAACGGGCCACACTTTTTCAAAAAAAAAACTATTGATATTATGAAAATTATTATTTTTCTCGTGCGCACATACTCCACACACGATCCCTCTAAACAGCTTATTTTTTGCAAAACAGAAAGCGTACCCCTATTCGGGCCACTCTTTTCGGAAAAAAAACTATTACTAGAGTTAGAGATGGAATAGTTTTTTGTGGTGGTTGCACAAAAGTACCTGCAGTAGGCTCGTGCGTCTGGTACAGTTTACGGAACGGGGGGCGGTCCATCATCACCAGCTAGAGAGGGGGTGGTATCCATCATCATTCTCCTAGAGGGGGGTTGGTGTCCATCATCAGCTAGCGAGGGGGGTGATATCCACCGTCAGCCGTGAAGGGAAGGGTGCTTTCCATCGTCATCAGCTAGAGAGGGAAAAAAAATNTGTGGTGGTTGCACAAAAGTACCTGCAGTAGGCTCGTGCGTCTGGTACAGTTTACGGAACGGGGGGCGGTCCATCATCACCAGCTAGAGAGGGGGTGGTATCCATC